ATAAATGGCAGAAAGTCCAGAGAAGAGCAACAAATATGACAATAGGTGTAGAAAACCGAATCTAAGAGGAAAGGCTAAAAATTTTGTTAGCATATTAAGTCTCAAAAGAAGAAGGCTAAGGGTGGCCTGATATATCTCAGATAAAATAAGGGCTGTTATAAAGACAATGGTGATCAATGGTTTCTAAGTCCACTGAAGATAGGACAAGAAGTAATTGGCTTAATCTGTAGCAAGGGAAATTTAGATTAGGAAACCTTTCCAACTATAAAGGGTAGTTAACCACTGGAATAGCCTTTCCAAGGAAGTTGTGGAATCTCTATCACTGGAAGTTTGAAAGAACTGATTAAACACGTCTGTCAGGGATAATCTAGGTATTCTTGGCCCTGTTTCAGTGTTGGGGAGGTTAGAGCAGATGTTTCAAGGTCCTTTTCAGGGTTATATTGGTATGATTCCATAGCTGCTCAAAGGGTTAAATACTGGAAGGTAATATTAGTCATATTATTTGCCTCTTGTAAGAATGTCTAAAGGGAAATGACACAATTTAGACATTGACTAAAATGGAGACACTGTTAGGTATTTGGAAACTCCACAAGACAAAGGGCCCACATAGAGTCTTGAAGAATTTAAGTAGATAATTTTGTTTCTGGAGTTGCATTCTTTATTCATATTATGGGGGCCACAGCGTTTTGTGCTTCTGGAAGCCCACAGGTAAGGAAAATGTGTTTGTCTACCTTTTAGGTCTGGCCTCCACAAATGAAGATAGCTCTGGGGAGCCATGCATCACACTTGTGAAGGGAGCATTTATGGGAGAGTGATTTGACAAGGTAGTGGCAGGGTGGGGCTTCACCTGTTAGGAGCTGGTGCTGCCAAATGAGTTCTTGGTGGACTCTCCTGCAGTTCATTGAACCAGAACTGACCCCCTCCCCATGTCCTAGATAATGACGCCATTGGGCACAGTGAACCCGAAGGAGGGGCAGCTGGGTTAAATTTCAGTGACATTGCAACCATGCAGGAGGAATGATGCTAGCAGTTGCCATATTGATTTAGTATTGGACCATTGCTTCAAAATCATCAGGCCATGTCCTTCCAATTCCTGGACTTTGGAACTTTGAACAAATGCAAACCTGGGAGGGGAAAGGGGAAGGAAATTTGCAAAGCCTGCCCACCCCCTCTGCATTGGTGCCAATGTTCCAGCGTGTGGTCACTGGCCTCTTTTCCCCTCTGACCTCTTCCATAGGACAGTAGCATGACCTTCATCCTGTTTCCACAGCCCCTACGGCAGGCATGACACAGGCCCCTCATCCTCAAGGGCAGCTCCTTCCTGAGTCTCTCTGGGGAATGGGAGACCCAGGGTCTCGCTTGTTCTTAGATTCCTTTCATTCTCTCTTCCCCTCCTAAAACTCTCTTCACTCTAATTACCTCTCTGTATCTGCCCACCCTCCCTTGTGGACTAGCAGCTCTCATAACTACTCCAGCTCTTACCTACGGGCTGCGTCTAGACTGGCCGCGATATTTGTGCAAGAACACTGACTTTGTACTGTACAAAATCAGTGGTTCTTGCACAAATACTCCGACACTCCCACTCAGAGATAAGCCCTCTTGCGCAAGTATTCTTGTGCATGAGGGCCAGTGTAGAAAGCCAAGTTGATTTCTTGTGCAAGAAAGCCCGATGGCTAAAATGGCCATCAGAGCTTTCTTGCAAAAGAGAGCATCTACACTGGCACGGTTGCTTTTGCACAAAAGCAAATCTTTTGCGCAAAGGCACTTGCCAGTATAAACGCTCTCTTGCGCAAATACTTTTAACGGAAAAACTTTTCCCTTAAAAGTATTTGCGCAAAATCATGCCGATCTAGACACAGCCATAGAGTGGTGGCTCCCATTTCTCATCATCTGACCACAATGTTTTGACTCCCTAACACTGAGCAGAGCGGAACAGGAGCTACATAGTTTACTCCAGGTACCAGGCTGTTCTGAGGTTACTCATTTGTGACTATAATGGAGATTTAAATTTTCCCTTAGGTTCAGCAAGTAACATGACATGGGGAAATATCATAAGCCATTAGAAGTGCATTAGGCACACATGCCAGAAGGGAAAACAGTATTCTTTACAAGTAATTGCCTTAGAGTCTGGACGGTTGGCATAGAAATAGCTAGACAGGACAAATGAGTCAATGAGATTTAAGTTAAAATATGTGTTGACTTTTTGATGAATGGCTTCGATTCCACTTTAAGCAGGATATTTGTGGTAAAAACAACAACAAGCAAAAGCTTTATTACTGGCCTGACAGTAACAAAATAGTGAAAGGCTCTAGTGGGATTAAAAATGGTGCCGGAAAACAACACACATAGGACAAAGCTTTCAGTGACAAATTGCCTTCCTACTTTCTCTTCATATAATGAGTGCTGGGTTTTTCTTTTTGCAGTGAACTCATGTGTCTTTCAGTTTGCTTTTAATTGAAAACAGGCTTACTTTATAGCAGGGGAAAAGCAACCACACCAGTGGTGAACCACTACATAGAGCAAGGAGCAAGAGTCAAAATAGAAAGTAGCTTTGATTTGTTAAATGGTATTTAGCAATGGCGATTGTGCTAAAAAGATACGAGATTAAAGAAAAATATTCAACTCAGTTTTATACCACACCCATTGAAGGAGGAAAGATGGTCTTGTGGTTACAGACCTAGGTTGGAACTCAGGAAATCTTTGGTTCATTTCAAGTGCTGCCACAGACTCTGTGACTTTGCCACCAAGTTGCTCTGGGCCTCAGTTCCTCATCTGCAAAGTGTGCAGGGGGGCTGACAGACTCCCCAGGACCCTGGGGAAGATCAGGGGGGCCAGCTCATTGCTCCCAGAAGGGGGTGGGGTCTCGAGCAGAAGGGATGGAAACCTCAGAGGTGTCCAGAGCGCACCGCGTGGTGTTCTGGAAGCAATTTAAAGGGCCAGGGGCTTCGCCTGCCACTGCCCCTGTGGTAGCAGTGTCAGTACCCGGGAGTCCTTGGCCCTTTTGAATCACCAGACCTGGGGGCAACAGGCTCCTTTGCCCTGCTTCCTCTCATCAGTAGGACCAGAAATGTCCACATGCTCTCTAATCTGGTTATTCGGAAGCATTATTATGAAAGCAACTGGAGGATGCAATCTAGAACTTGCAGAAAATTATCAGTGAAATGCTCACAGAAAGTGATCTAATTACATAAATGGTCATTGAAAGCTCTCATTAAAGACTCAGATATTCATTACCACAGTAGAATACCGCATAACGCCGATCAACAGCTACTAAGTGTGCATCCCATCCACACTTACTGCTGTGTACATCACACACATTCCAAATGGTTTGACTAGTACATACACTTCATTATGAAAATTCTGTTGATTTGAATCTTTAAAGAAATAAATTCAGATTAATCACTTATATACAGGAGAAGATTTGGTTCCCTTTTCTCCCCAGATATCTGAATAAGCCCATTGAAATAGACAAGACTATTCCGTAATACCCGATCTCTTCATCGATCCTTCTACTATATAAGTTTTAATTTTAAAGGCTGAGGCCATAAGCCTCTGGGTACTTCCATGAGTGATGAGAAAATGTTTTCAGAATGTGGAAAGAATTAGCCAAAAGGAATGGATTAATATTGACCGATGGTTTGATATCATTACCACTGTTTATTGAAAACAGGCCTGGTAAGTGTAATCAAATGAGTACATATTGGCTTTGCCTAGAAAGTCAACACATACATAAGCTGACACATATGAATGGCCAAACTGGGTCAGACCATTAGTCCATCTAACTCAATATCCTGCCTTCCAACAATGGCCAATGACAAGTGCTTCAGAAGGAATGAATAGAACAGGGCAATTATCACATGAGCCATCCCCTGTTGTCCAGTCCCAGCATCTGACTGTCAGAAGCTTAACCCAGAGCATGGGTTTGAATCCTTTAGCATCTTGGCTAATAGCCATTGACAGACCCATCCTCCATGAACTTATCTAATTTCATTTTTGAACCCAGTTATATTTTGGGCCTTCACTGCACTCCCCGGCAATGAGCTCCACAGGTGACTATGCACTTTGTAAGGTACTCCCTTTTGTGTGTTTTAAACCTGCTGCTTATTAATTTCATTGGGCGACCACTGGTTCTTAGGTTGTGTGAAGGAGTACTTTCTTATTCACTTTCTTCATGCTATTCATAATTTTTACGCACCTCTATCAGATCTATTTTTAGTCTTCTCTTTTCCAAGCAGAACGGTCCCAGTCTTTTTAATCTCTCCTCATGCAGAAGCTGTTCCGTACCCCTACATTTTGTCTGCCCTCCTCTGTACGTTTCCCAATTTTCATATATTTAGAGATAGGGTGACCAGAATTGCACTGAGTATTCAAGGTGTAGGTACACTATAGGGCTGTGTCTACATTGGTACCCCTTTCCAGAAAAGGGATGCTAACGAGACCAGTCGGAATTGCAAATGCCGTGGGGGATTTAAATATCCCCCGTGGCATTTGCATAAACATGACTGCCGCTTTTTTCCGGCTCGGGGTTTTGCCGGAGAAAAGCGCCAGTGGCTGGGGGTTTTGCCGGAGAAAAGCGCCAGTCTAGACGGGATCTTGCGGAAAATAAGCCCTTTTCCGCAAGATCCCTTATTCCTACTTGAAAGTTTAGGAATAAGGGATTTTCCGGAAAAGGGCTTATTTTCCACAAGATCCCGTCTAGACTGGCGCTTTTCTCTGGCAAAACCCTGAGCCAGAAAAAAGCAGCAGCCATGTTCATGCAAATGTCGCAGGGGATATTTAAATTCCCTGCGGCATTTGCAATTCCGACTGGTCTCATTAGCATCCCTTTTCCGGAAAGGGGTGCCAATGTAGACACAGCCTAGGTTTGTATAGTGACATTATGATATTTTCTATCTTTCCTTTTCCTAGTGGTTCCTATTTTGACCACCACTGTACATTGAGCAGATGTTTTGAGAGAACTATCCATAATGATGCCATGATCTCTTCCCTATGTGGCAACAGCTAGTTTAGACCCCGTCACTAGGTATGTATAGCTGATATTATATTTTCTAATGTGCACAACTTTGCATTTATGAACACTGAAACTCATCTGCCAGTTGTTGCCCAGTGACCTCCTTTAGTGAGATCTCTGTGATTTTTATCAGCTTTGAATTTATGTGTCTCAAATAATTTTGTACCAGCTGAAAAATTTGCCACATCACTGTTTACCCCTTTTTTCTAGATCATTTTTAAATATGTTGAAAAGCACTGATCCCAATGGTGAAAACAGGTAATTTATTCCTACTTTTTATCTCTTGACATTTAACCAGTTACTGATCCAGAAATAACATAATAAAGACAAGAACTCTAGGCCTTATGGAGATTAGACAATATATGTAGAAACTCTTCTTAGGCACATAGTTCTGTTTTGGAGGATCAGGCCACTACTAAGATCAGTACAATTCCACAAAGTCAGTCTTGATGGTTAGACTCAAGCTGTTTCCCATCAATTTCACAGTGGGGAACCCAGCACTGTGGATTCAGTAGTAGGGAGAGGTGCTAGGAACTGCTGAACAATAATCAGAAAACATTACCTTATATTATTAGAGAAGGCGGCTTTAAAAAAAAGCTACTGAATCTTGTCAGGCAGTGAAAGCCAAAAATAATCCAGAAGCCATAAAGTATGTTTGTAATTAATAGAGAAGATTGTGTCATCTTGAAAAGTCAACTTGAACTTGTGTTCATTTGCCACTTTTCAGAACCCTTCTCCAGTTTCAAAGCAACTTGCTTTTGGCAATACTGGATATAGAAATCTTAAAGGAAAGATGAATAGGCTTTCTATAATTATATTTGCATAATATTAACCAGAATGCCTCTCTCACAGCTAGCTACTGACTGAACTCTTGGGAAAAGGTTCTAGAAGATTTGTTTGTTATGATGATCCATTTGCAAAGTTATATCTAATGCAACAGGGTTTTATAAAAACCTTTAACATTTAAACTGTGCTTTCCACCTCAAAAGCTCCCAAATGGCTTTACAAACCATGGGCTTATTTCTTCCTCTACATCTCTGTGAAATTCCCATTTGGCACTCTGGCCTAGGGCCCTCCTTTCCCATATGCAGATAACATAGGTGATCGAAAAATTTGGTGCACCAATGGGTCTTAATTTCCACCCATTTGCCTCTTTCTATCCTTGATCTGTGGTTGCTGCAGCCTGATGAGTCTTCTGGAAATGAGCTCATTAACTTAAAAGTGCAATAGCTTTCTAGCACAGGGTTTCTCAACCAGTGGTATGAGTAGGCTTAGGGGTTCTTGAGAGAAGTCTGGGGTACATCAACACAACTGAAATTTGGAGAAAACTGAATTTTTGGTTTAAGTTTTACAGCGCTTTATTATTTTTGTACTTTTTACACCCAAAAATTTCATCACCCGTCTGGCTACAATTAAGTTGTTTAAACAAATATGTTGCAATGGTAGAAAAAAAATTGTGCGTCTGAAAACAGTAGGTACTGGGAGTACTTATAATTTTTTAAAGGGTACTTTATAAAAAAAAGGTTGAGAAATACTGTTCTAGCAGGCCTATTAGCAGAACACTGACTCTGTGAAAGAGTCATTCAAGTGGCAATGAAGCCAATTAATAAGTATATTCTGTCAGATTCTGAATTTACTGTTAGTCTACAGAAACTTAGTTTAAAAGTTGCTTTAAATATATTCATAGAATATTAGAACTGGAAGGGACCTCAAGAGATCAAGTCCAGTCCCCTGTCCTCACAGCAGGACCAAGCATCATCTAGATCATCCCTGATAGTTGTCTATCTAAACTGCTCTTAAATAAATATTAGTGTATTGCTGAAAATTAGAAAATCATATATTTAAAAATTGTCCCTCCCTCTCCCTTGGGTCAGGGGTTGGGCATATGTCCTCATAAATCCTAAGGTGATAGCACTGCTCTGGCTATACCTTGTTTTGAGACAGAAAATGCCCAGCTAGCTAGACTACAGAAGAAGAGTGTTTCTAGGGGGTGTGGCAGCCCAAACTCACTCTGGTCACTGACGTGGGCTATGCCCACGAAAGCTCATGATACCATCTACATGTTTTGTTAGTCTATAAAGTGCTACCAGACCATTTGTGGGTTTTTTCTAAAGCATCAAAGTAATTTGTAAAGTAGCACAGAACAAATAAGAGATTGAGACTGAAAAGTCTCATTTGAAAAACCTAGATTGTGTAAATTGTATGGCATACTTCTGCCTTGGAAAGATAAAGGAATAAATCCATCTGACTTTTTTGGAAGTCTACACATTTGACAACAATTTAGAAACAAACCATCATCTGCATCTATGCTTAAAGGGTTCCACTGGTTCTTGAAAAAAGAATGGACCAAATTCATCACTGATCATTATACTGGCCGATTTACGCTGCAGATGAATTTGATCCAAAGAGTTGGATACTATTAGAGCAATGACTATGTAGATAAATATGGCAGCTATTATACATTCTACAACAGTCAAAACTGTACATCATAACTGATTAAGAGCTGGAGTACTAATCACACTACCAGGTTCAGCCACTGTTTCTGAAATGTGTTTTGGAATCTTAACTGATACATGCAGAGTTTGGAATAAAAGTCTTCATCCAAATGAGAGACACTCTGTTTTATGCCTTTAAGGTGCCAAGTAAATACAACAACAAAGAGCACAAAAGAAAATGAAAATCCGAATTAACTAGAACAAAATATGATCAGTAGACATCTTAATAGGTTCGTGTGCAGAATTTGAATACCTAGATTCATGACATTTTGTAACGAAGACTTATTAAGTCACACCATATTCCGAATTTTTTAAAAAGTGTATCTGAAAAACTGGCATCAGCAATTTCAATAATTTGCTTAAGTGTTAGGAATGCACAAATGAGCTGTCCAAGAACTTATGCAGCCCTGCCCTTATGAAGGCTGCCAATTTCTTACAAAAACATAAATCAAAAAACCCTTTTACTGCAGCAGCATCTTTCAGTAACACAGTCATTTGCTTGTCTCTAGGGTCCTTGTCATCTTTTACATTTCCATAAATATAGGTGGGGTGCGTTTGTACCGAATATATAGCTCTGGCCTGTAATCATTTTAGAACACAAAGTGCCAGATGATAAAACACTTCTCCTTGGGTGTGCATACCTCCCATAGAATTTCCTGTCCTCCCTGAAATACATGTGCTTCCTTCCCCCATTAGAAAACAAAAGGTTCTAGGGCTTTTGCTTTGTGGAAGATAAACATAGTTCAAGCCTAAATAAAGCAGTACATTTTTAGCATTGAAAAACAACAGAAGACAGCTCTGGAATATTTTGGATCAAGTTCTTCCATTTCTTTGCATACATATACAGGACATTAAGATAATTAGGATATTTACACTAGAGTTAACACTAGCTGCCAGTATTAACTATTTAAGCGGTGGCCATTTTAATGAATACAGTAGGGTAAGGGAGTTCTAACTTCAAAATACAACAGTAACTGGAGCATGAAATTAGCCAACTACTCTAAAATGGCCAAAGCATATCATCTTAATTTATTTTCAATTGAGCTATCATATTATTAAATTGCTTAAAATATGTATTTGACATTCCTGTGGGCACAGAATCACTGAAGCAGTATGTATAATTTGATGACTGACTCTCAAACTTGACCCATTACTTTCCCTTTTTTAGAAAGAACAGGGCAGCTCCGCAAGCACCAAAATTCAGTCAAATGGACTTGCTGCCAAAGATGAAAAACTAAGGAAGTTGGTATACTTACTTCTGCAGAGAAAACCAGCTTTTCATTTCTAAGCCAACCCCCCTCTCCCTTCATTATCACCATGAAAACATTTATAATTGAGGTCTACTGTACCTTGTTGCAAACCCCACAGTGGCTGAACTGTTCAGTCGCAAGGTGTATTGTGTGCAAAATGTAACTGTGTGAAATGCCTATTAATATAAATACGTCCTCAAGAGTGAAGACAGCATGAAGCAGACCAGCTCTTAACAGTTCAGCCTTGGGATTTCCGTTTCATTCTGGTGAATTGTGGTCGTACGGGAAACATTACCAGTAAATCTCTTCATTAAAAGTTTCTATTGCTGTTAAAAACTATAATAATTAGGTTAAATCAAAACTCTAATACACATCGGCTTCTATTAAAACAGGCACATATCCAGTATTAAATTCATTAGTGGTCTTGTTTACTGCCAAAGAATTCAGACCAGTTTTTCCCTATAGAGTTGGCACATATTAGTCCATGTTAAAATGTAAAGGATAAAGCATCTCCAAATATATTTTTTTCTTCAGTTGTGACGCCACACAAACATGTAACCAAACCAAAATCCATCATATTGTAGGGCATGGGGAAGGGAGGCAGGAATTTGAATCAAACAATTTATTTAAAGAGAACCATTTTATACTTTTCTAGGAGATTCTATTTCAGTTTAGCTATTGAGTGCAACATTTTTACCAATGCCTACAAGAAAGATACTATGAGACAACTGTATTATCATATTAACCCAGCCATCTAAAATGCTCATAGAAGCTAAAGAGACAAGGACCAACTTTGCCTCCCCAAGTGCAGAGAGCAATCTGCTCCTCCTCCCCACCCAGAAGCAGATTCCTGCTCACAGCTGGGAAAATGAAGTTGGCTCAGTTAAAGATGCTTCTTCACCCACCTTTTCTCTCTGATATTCTGGGGCCAAAATGGCTACAACAACACTACATACAACAGTGGAGGCTAAGTCAGACATGATTCATTTTCTCCTTATATAAAATATTGCAAGTGACAGAAACTAAAAGCTACCTACTGGCAGACTGATGTGGGGAAGGAAATTTCAGAGGAATCATGGGCACAAATACAGAATCATCATGCTCAATATGGAGAACAGGCAAAATGTTATTAATTTCTGTTCCAGTGGGACATCATACATTCTGATGAGTCTATAACACTGCTTTGGGGGATGTGCTAGACCCGTGGTTTCCAACACGTTATATGTGGCTATTTGGCTGGTTGAGTGTGGCTACTGCTTCAGAGCTGGTTGGACACCACAGTACTAGACCGCATGGAAATTCTGTGTATATTTAATGAGCATATCCAAACATTTGTAAGTATTGGACTGCTATTAAGAGATCAAGTGTGTTTAATAACTTCTTCTAATCTCCCAGATGTCTGAGTAGCAGTAAGAATACCCAGGAAATAATCCTACTTCTAGACTGCAGAGAAGTGATCTTAGGCCTGCAGTATGAATAGCAACAAGATTGGTCTTGCCATGCTGGAAACAAAATGACCTCTCAACGATTACCCATTGGTATGACATGGCCTGGAAATGGAAAAGTTTACCCATGGGAGACAGTCAGGTAAAAAGTAGGTTGCCTTTTATTTCAGATTCAGATAAGTAGCTTAATGATAGTGTGATAATTATGAACAAGAAACATTCCCCTCAACTCTGGTGTACAATACAAATGAATAATAATGTATATTATTTGCATCTTACCTCTAGGTTATGAAATAGGCATTTGAAACAATGATTGCTCCTGAAAAGACAAATGCTTAGCAATATTACTTTCAACTAAAATATGCTGTTTGTGGCTTTTTTTTATTAGCTCTTGTAAGAGAACCAGCAGCTAGACTAGTCTAAAATAGCATAAAATGTCAATAAGATTACTTTTTTCTTTAACCCCTCCCTCCCCCCGCCATTTTGGCACCTGGCTTCAATACAGGTTGCTAGTACTTTGAATAACTCTCTGTAAACAGCTATGAAAATGGAGTATATCAAACTAATAGGGAAATTACATTGAAATAAGAAAAAGTCATTTGCCAGATGAAGCAAAAGCATCTATGGAATGGAAAAAATACATTTTCATCACATAGTTCATTCATAACATCATAATCTTCAGCTGAAGCTGATTACATTATTTCAAAATTAAAATATTTGAAATATGATCGTCACTGTCACCATGCTAGTATTACTTCAGAATTGGAAGTGCTGCAGTCAGCCATCTTGTGTTTAGACATTGCCAGTTGAAAATCAGACATCATGGAGGTAGGAAAATCTTAGGCCCTGGGAGGAAAAGCCAAATTACTGCATAAGTACCTCTGACACCTTAGCTTTACTATTGTTATGACTAGAAATGTTTTAATAAGAAATATTATTTGCTGAAAGCAAACAAAAAATTGGTACCCTGCGAATGGGCAATGGTAAAAAACAGTCTCACTGGCCATATATAGAATCACATTGCCCAGCACGGGTTTAGAGTATTTTAAGTATTTACAATTATTTTTAAAGTTTGAAATATTTTGATGAATTAACAGACTTTTTGGAGACCCTGCCTTGTATTTAGCTACTGGGGAATTTAGGTGTTAAATCTTTGCCCAGAGCAAAGCTATTTGGACAGCTTTAAAGCAAATTGCTGTCCCTAATTTTTTATAGCTAATTTTAAACAAAGCACATAATGTATAAGTGACAAAGAGTCCTGTGGCACCTTATGACTAACATATCCTGGAGCATAAGCTTTCGTGGGCAAAGACCCACTTCGTCTGATGCATGTCACATAATGTATAGTGACTCCTAGTGGGTCGTAATAGTAGTCTCAAAGGGTATGTCTAAACTACATGGCTCCGTCGACGGAGCCATGTAGTTTAGACATACCCTTTGAGACTACTATTACGACCCACTAGGAGTCACTATACATTATGTGACATGCATCAGACGAAGTGGGTCTTTGCCCACGAAAGCTTATGCTCCAGGATATGTTAGTCATAAGGTGCCACAGGACTCTTTGTCACTTATACATTATGTGCTTTGTTTAAAATTAGCTATAAAAAATTAGGGACAGCAATTTGCTTTAAAGCTATCCAAATAGCTTTGCTCTGGGCAAAGATTTAACACCTAAATTCCCCAGTAGCTAAATACAAGGCAGGGTCTCCAAAAAGTCTGTTAATTCATCAAAATATTTCAAACTTTAAAAATAATTGTAAATACTTAAAATACTCTAAACCCGTGCTGGGCAATGTGATTCTATATATGGCCAGTGAGACTGTTTTTTACCATTGCCCATTCGCAGGGTTGCCAGAGTCCACGGGATTCTGTCCGCAGCGGCATACACATCAAGCGAGAGCACGTGAAGTGAGGTGTATGCTGACTACACAGATCGACAGAGAGCTAGGCAATCCCTCTGCATCCAATCAACGCACAGCTAGTTTAATCAGCATCCCCTACAAGTTCTAAGTATACAAGCGTTGTTAGCAAAAACTACCCTATCCTAGGAGACCGCACTGGTCTCCATTGAGATGAAGGAGAATCAATCATGCAGCTCAGTAACTAGCCTAGGTTGTCCTGCTTTAAACCTGCTGCTACAGTGTGTATGTATGTTTGTGCGCGCGCTCATATTGCTTAAAACAAAATACTTTTAAATAAAAGCCTCTTGCTTGTGCCAATCATTTATCAAACAAATAAGTGGTGCCACCACTAATTTAATGCTAATGCCACTTACAAAGAAACCTCGGCTTTGGGTTCTAAAAAACTGTAGGTAAGTCTAGTTTTGAAACATTTATATCCAACATCAACTATATTTCTAGTATCAGATCCTGCACGCTTAAGTGACTGCTTCACTCCCATCCAGCCTCCAATTATGGACACTTTACTATCCCTCCAGTCCTCCCAACTTTCCCTCCAAGGCAAGGCCAGATATCGATCCTTTGTTCCAGTAACTGAAAACAATTAGGCTCAAACGTCCCATTGAAAGCAATAGAAATTCACTCACTGACATCCTGACTCTAGCTCATCCAAGATCTTTGGACACAGCTATTGGAATTGACCTTTATATTCCCTACATTTAGGACATCCAAAAGTTCTGTTGGGTATTGCCTATAGGATATATCAGGTGTTTTTTCCCCCTTCCATTTTTACTTTTTTCTTTTCTCCAATTGGTATTACATATGCCAGAAAAACATTAGAAATGCTTAAAAAAATCCATTATAAAGTTAAAAATCAACAAGGATACATTCTAAAGGCTGTGTAGCCAGACAGGAACCCCCCTGTAACATCCATTTTGCTTGCCTGGAGCATACAGGGCACACAGAGCAGTAAAAGCCTTGAACAGAAGGCCCGGATATGCAGGCTGCTGTGACCCTGGATGGGTGTAAACAGAGATATGCCAATTGTTGACCTCAAGGCTGCGAGAACTGCCTTGGCTGGCACCTATATTGATATGAACACACAGCAGTCCGCGAGGAGGGGGGGGGGAAAGAAATCTCTTGCCCAGTACAAAAATGTCCAGTACTTACAATTTAGTTAGCTCTCTTACAAGTGTAAATTAAGTTGAAACTCCCTTGTAAGAACTGGCATCACAAAGACAGACCAACACAACTTGGCATTTTAGATAAGAAAGAGGATACGGGCCCCTATGGGTATAAAGATGGGTCCAGCAGCACATTTACTCTGAGTGTCAATCTACCATCTATCTGCTGGTTGGGTTAGGTGATTGACGTCCCGAAATTTCTTAGAGAACACAGGGTGTACATCCTGATTCTCTTTGAGATAATATGTAAATATTTTAGCACTAAGCTACTTTATGTTCTTACTTGCAATTGACAAGGAGGAAAGTGGGTGGGGTAGAGACTTTCCCTGTGGTTCCAAATTTCCCACAGGGGGCGTGGCTAAGAGCAGCGTGGGATTTGTTCTGTACAATCTGTCAGAGTTAGTCTCTGAAGTCAGATACACAATGTGTTTCTTGAGCAACTATACTCCACAAGAACCTCTTACACCTATTACTACCTTGGAGTCCTAGATGTGAACCTACAGGAAATGGTGTCAGTTGCTGTAACAAAACCAAGCAAAATTGAAAAGAACTTCAGCCGGTCATAAGGGACTCACTGCCCTGACCGTCGGCTGACAGGTCCCCCCACCCAGGAATTTGGATCGTGTCGCTTCCAGAGGACAGATCCGTAGGGGCATCTCTCAGTCTTCCCTAGGCTGCCCGCTGTGAAGGGATCCTGTATCCTAGCAGTTAAAATCTGAGATGTAATAAGCTCTTCCTATAAACTCTGGGGCGTCTGTCAGCTGCCCTCCGCGAAGGGATCCCGATCCTAGCGGACTAAGACACGGACGTTAAACTCCTCAGGGCGCCCGTCAGTCTCTCCTAGACTGCCCACTGCAACAGGGCCGTGTGTCCCAGCAGTTGAAGACTCGGGTGTCTCTCTCTCTCTCTCTCTCTCACACACACACACACACACACACACACACACACTGACCCGACCATCGGCTGACCAGCTGCAGGTAGGACAAGCTTATAATGTCCCAAATTCAATACTAGACAAGTGATGGTATAAATCTTTCCTGCTCCGAATTGGAGGGTAGCCAGAATGTGTATCAATAGTAATGTTTGATAATATACACTGTCCTATGAGCTACTGTAATATGCTTCATTTGCCACTTTTCACCATTTGCATTTTAATTTTCTGACCATTTCAGCTTAATTCACTGGCATGGATTGAAAAAGCAGCATTGCAGTACATTACAGTGGAAAGGCCAGGGCGCTCTCTTACAGAACACAGGGACCACTCACAGTCTGATACGTGTTTTTTAAACAACACATGGCGAGCATACTGCAAGAACTGACCCTCATATTCTTTGCTTTTGTCAAGATTTGTAATACAGAAATGAGTAATTTCCTTTTTAATGGTCAGAATGTAGTTTTGAAGTGAACTAGAGAGTCTAAGTTCTGGTCAAAAGCCAGGCACAATAAAACAGGCAGAATCTATCATGCGATCACCCTTCAAAAATGGGAAGACAGGCTTTGCCAGTCTGGAGAGTCTACCAACTTCTGCATCTTGAATCTGGCACTGTTAGTTGCTTCCAGCATAGGAGCAAATATTTTGCTGAGGAATGGCAAGACAAATGGTCTAATAATTGCAACAAGTGGACACACCATGCATTTGCAGGAGCTAGGTTGCTCAGAGAAT